ATTTACTTATTAAGTTAATTTCATTTCTATGCCACCTTTTCCTCACAAAGGGGCTTACTGTCACTTTCTAACCAGATATTCACCCACTTTGAATTTCAGCTGTCTGTAGGGTGGTCACATACACAAGAAAACAGGGCTTCTGCTTTTGAAATAGTTATGTGGAACAGGGGATTTCAGCAGATAGAGCTTTTTTTGGAGAGACGCTTGCTGAAATTGTGTCTTCCACACAACTGTTTAATATACAGGAACCCCGCCCTCTATTTCATGTGGCTGTCCTAGCCTTCTTCATGAAGAGCACATACTGCATTGTAGTTTTGTTTCAGCCGTTTGGATTTAGCTAGATTTGAAACATTGGCCATGTGCTCTTAATTCTTATTGATCACATTGGTAAAAACCAGTAGGGCATGGTGAGGGATAGTGAAAATTGTACTCTAACAACATTTGGAAATACACAGCCTCCATTCTGCACTCTGCAGCTGTGGTTTTCTGCACTCTCTTAGGGCTGCGGTTTTATAGTGCTCAAGATCAGTTAAGTACAGTCTCTGGCTTTCAACTCACCAAGAAGGCGAGTCAATCCCTGAGCCTAAGTCTAACTAAGCTGTAAAATGACTTGATTATAATAATATAGGCTTAGTTTATAAGCCAATCTTGAAAAAAAATTGCTTTTGAAAACTTGATTTCTCCAGTTCCCTCAGGCAGTATAGCTTCTGTGGGATACTGGAAATTGTTACTAGAGAAAAGTACTTGTTTCAAACCATGTTGTGCGTTTATAGCACTGGTTTCTGAGAAGATTCTGAGAAACACTGAGAGCCATTAGAAAAGCCCCATGCAAATGCTAAGCATAATTCTGTGGTTGAAAGTCTCAAAACCTCAAACATGTTTACCAGTTCTGCTTTTTAATGCCAAGATAACACTCATGACTTGGTTTCTTTTTTGTTTTTTCCCCAAAAAGGCACATAGATTCCCAGGGTATGTGACTTTTTGAGATGATTTTTGGCCTTGTTTCAAGGCATGTGGCTGGAGAAATTCCCATAGCTGCAATTGTTCACCCTGTGACCAGTGCTATGTTTAAATCTGCCATGATACCCAGGGCTAATGACATTAATTTTCATTGTTTTCATATCAATATCTATAGGAGTTATACTAACACATTATTGGTTTTGGGGCAATGAATAATAGTATTTGTTACTTTACATAAGTTTTTTTTAACATTAGGGAACAGGTTGATTATTTCTGGTCTTTTTCCTATTTTTGAAGGGATTGAGTAACAAGAACAATAATTAATAAATGAGAGATGTTAGGATTAATAAGAATTTAAAAGTAACAATAAACATTAATATGTTGATTCAATCAGAAAAGGAAATACTAGCTTCCATTTTGGACTACTTGTGGCACGGTCCAGTGCTAGTTATTTCCCAGTGATCACATGATATACGGGCTCCAGCCTATCACTGATCTGTGCCCAAGCTGGACTTTTTGGTCCAGTGGTAGAACTACTCTTTTTGTGTGTGTGTGTGTGTGGCTGGGCTGGAGCAATTCCTGGATGGACTGAAAGGTTGCGTTAAGGGAGATTGCTCCTGGTAAAGTGACCCTTCCCAGTGCCATCCTATGCTATCCTTTCTTGCTTTCTGATTGTACCCTTAGTCATTTTAGAGTATATTTTCAAGGTCTGGCATTCATTGCAACAAGCAGTGTTGATAGCCACTAGCTTTGATGGCTTTAATGGGAGTTTAACAAATTCACATTCACAATGTAACATTTAGCTACAGGGGATCCCAAGTACAGTGGTGCCTCGCATGACAAATGCCTCACAGGACAAAAAACTTGAAAGACAAATGGTTTTGGCAACGGGGTTGATGACTTGCAAGACAAATATTCCTATGGCCGTGCTTCGCAAGAAGAATGTTTTCGTTTTTTGTTCCTGCCTCATGTTTGCTGATTTTTAAATGTTTTTCTATGATGTTTAAAAAGTTAAAGTTTTTAAATTGAATTTTAAAAAATCATCTGCACAATATGTATGGCTTTAAAGAGCACTTAATAAACCCTTTGTAAACCAAATTTGACTTTGTTCTGACTTTGTTTGCCCATAGGAACGCATTATTAATTAGATTTCAATGCATTCCTATGGGAAAACGCACTTCGCAAGACAAATTTTTCGCAAGACAACATTGACCGCAGAACGAATTAAATTCGTCTTGTGAGGCACCGCTGTACTGTAACGAGAATGCATAGTGGAGGAGGCCTGGAGGAGGCTTACACATTCTTCTTGTTTGCTTTGCAAAGGTTAATGCTGAGACACAGCAACACTGCAAGGCAAGATGAAAGAGCCCCACTCAGGCAACCACTGCAGAAGAATTAGGAATGGTGGGGATGTGTAGGTGAGACAGACACTAATGTGCCAGAAATCCTGCCCCTTTGCTCCTAAACTGGCAGTGAGAGCAAGGTCTCTTTGCCATGGCTCAGGGCTGATGTAACTACCTGCCCAGCCCTGCCCAGTTTGCTTCCACATTTTGAATGGAAGACTCCCATCTTGTCTTTCACTTTAGGCAGCAAAATGACTTGGGACTAACATGGCGGACAAGATAGATTTTTTTTATTTCTGTCATGTCTCTTCCACCTTATACCATTCTCCATTTAGAGTAGCAGAATGGGCCTTTCTGTTAGGCCAACGGCTCAGCCATATTTATTCTGTCAAGTTTTTGGTAGATTTTAATCTTGTCTATTACTCTGTTAGATATTTTAGGCCATATGTTAGGACAGAGTTTGCACAACAAAATATAAATATATTTTTAAAAACCGGTTTAATGTATTCCTGCAAATTTGTGTTCACTGCAACTTGCTTCCAGGCTAAATAAATACGGACAAGAATTGTGAACTTAGTTTTTGGCTGTGCTACGTCGTCAGAGCACATAAGTGATCATTTAAGCATCAACAAAAAAGCAAACAAAGTGCTGCAGATTTGCATGGGCTAATTTACAGATAAAGATACAAATCTAGAAACATTTACTGTAAATAAAATGGAGATATAATGTATATCACCATGGTGGGGAAACTATGGCTTTGTGGCTTGCCTGCAAATGCTGATCCTTCATGGCCCTTATTCTCCTTCTTTATAAACAAGGCTTGGACTTGACAGCCCATCAAGTAGAGCAGTGGTTCTTAACTTTTGTTACTCGGATGTTTTAGAACTGCAACTCCCAGAAACCCCAGCCAGCACAGTTGGTGGTGAAGGCTTCTGGGAGTTGCAGTCCAAAACTCCTGAGTAACCCAAGGTTAAGAACCAGTGAAGTAGAGGATGATTCCCCCCTGTGAAGCAGATCCCAAATCCCCCACTTCACAGACACCACAAAATTGTTCTGTATGGGCCTATAGGGAAGTCAAAGTAGAAGATGAGAAATTTTAAAACAGATACTCTTTCTTCATTCTATGGAGGGGTAAAATAAAATGTCTAGTAGAAGTTTGAACCTAGGAATCTGGGCCTTTACCACTACAAAGCAATAGGCATGATTTGCAGTGAAGAGGAAAAACGAAGGTAGAAGTAGATTAATCTTTCTCCCATGTATTGCTTTCTCCCTTGAAAACCACCTCATGTAGCTGCTTTTTCCTTCTATACAACAAGGATGTATCCAGAAGTACACAGATTACAAGGACTATAGATGTAGAAAATAGATGATGGAGGCCCACCCCCAGATCTCTTCCAATGTTACTTCTCTGCTAACCCATCATCCTCTCCCCATTGTCTGATACAAAGCAGATTCGCACAGCCATTTCTCCATCAAATGTATAGCTATAGCTAAGAAAGGAACAAACAGAAATCCAACAGGTAGAGCACACAGATTTGTCAAGCCATCCAATAGGTAGAACACACAGATTTGTCAAGTCAAGGTACTGTATGTGAATCCCAACATGTTTTGAACTTATGGACACGACTAAACAACTAAACAACAAAAGGTAAGGTATATTTTACAAGGGTGGAATATTACATTCCATATCGGCCTAATCATCCAAATTGATTCTAACACTGTACTGAAGTTCTTTATTAAAATTTACTCCTACTAGCTCTCTATTCCATTAAGATACTCGAAAGTATTTCAGGGTGGATAGGAATGGCAGTTTCATAGCATCAGAGGGAGTTATCAATGGGCCCCTTCCACCTGTTTGGGTTTCTCTTTGTTACTTCCTGGGGCTGTCATCCTTTTTGGGGCAAGTTCTCACCTAAGTATGGTCACCTGGAAAATAGTTACAATTAATAAATACATGGGCCAGGCTGATACATTCTAGACACACAGATATAATCTCCACTTCCGTCTTCAATTTGCACTGGGCTCAGCTGCCACCCTTAATTGCCCCATAAGCTATCCAGAGACTTTCGTGATCCATCCTCAGGCAGAGCCTGGAAATGCTAATTTTCAGGGGCTACATCTCCCAGAATCCCCCCAGCCAGCAAGGCCCTCAGCCATACTTTCAGAGAGATCATAGGCAATTTAATACCAAAACCCTTTTGCCTCACCTGGAAAGTGTCATATTCAGTCACTTGGTTAAGAGAAAGGGGTGGAGTTATAAATAAAATGAATGAACCAACATGTTTAGAGCTTCTTTGAGAGTACTGATACCTAATGTCCCTCTTACAATAAGTGCTGGTTATCTGTTGCCCCCTTACAAAGTTTTGTCCTCATTATTTCAGAGAAATCCCCAGGTCTGGCCTGGGCTCTATAAAGCTCAAAGCAATGGCCAGCTGGTTTAGCAAAGGATCAAATGGGCTGTAACCTAGCTTTTATCTGACAGATGCTCTGGGAGCCTAGAAAAATCCAAGATACGACTTTACCCACGCTTGTATATACAGTATGTGATGCCGGTCCCTATAGGTTATAAAAGGCCTGATGGCTAAAGGTTTGATTTCTGCCGTTTGAAACTTTCCCCCTCTTTTGCCCAGCAGAAGTCCCCTCCTGCCCAAGGAGACGTGGAAAGGTTAAAGGAGAGAAACATTCATTCCAACTTACCCAAGGGGTCTTTGTAGGTGGAACGAAGCAGATCTTGGCCGCTTGCTATATCCTGGGAATATCCTACTCTCAGCAGGCCTTGGCGAACACTTCCTCGGATGGGGGATCTTTCTTTGAAACCAAAGTCGGAAGTGGGTTTTCTGGGCAGCTCCTCATGGGATTCAGAGGCTTCGCCTGAGATGGATTCATGGGTCTCTTTTCCGGCCACAGCGTAACACAACCCCACACCCCTCCGATTTTCCAGATGACTCGGAAGAGAGTTTCCCCAGATTGAGTCTGAGATGTAGCCTTAGTTGAAGCCTCCCTCAAGGAGGCCGGTGCATGTTGAAAGCAGCAGGCAGTGGGGGGTGGGTGCGTTGTGGGGACAGGATCCTCTTTCCAGCCCCCTCTGCTCTTTTCCTCTTGCCTGAAAGCAGTGGTTTGGCAGCTCTGATGTGGGAGAAGTTAAAAATGTTACTTATTACTGCCTCTTCCTGCCTGGCTTTTCTCCACCACTCCCAGCTAATAAAGCATTTCCTATTGTGGAGCACAGATCTACACACACACACATACACACTCTCTCTCTCTCTTCCTCCAAAAGACAGCGGAGGCCTGCTGCACAATTGTTCTCTATGATCGTCTTATCCTTCTGTGGGCAATATGAAAAATCCTATGGCCCTTACCTTCCTGGATTTCCTTCCTCCCATCACCCCCTATTGCTCTCCCTATGTTCAGACCTGAATTGACTAATTTGCTCCTGTGTCCCTGTTTCATTTCTCTAAACTGTACAATCTAGAACTTGGAAAAGTTACTATTTTGGACTGCAGATCCCAGACCCAGTACCCCCCAATATGATTGCTGGCCAGCATGGCCATATTACAAACATTTTTGCAAAGAGCCTGGATGTCCTGGGGCCAGTCAGGAGTAGGGAAGGGATGGATACTCAGGGCTTAATGCTGCCACACATAGTAAGATCAGACTTCTTCAGTACCACTTGCCCTGAGATTTGTTTTCACGCCTTGAGAAATGTATCAGTTCCTGACATTCTGAATATCTAGCAAGTGTGGTCTCAGATTGCTCTACATTCCATTCTAATTAGAAGCTTAATGAGGGATTCAGATGTAATGTTTCCCTTCATGCCATCACTGAGAGTGGGAAAGGATCTTTTTTAAGGCTTTGAAATGATAATAGGCTTTTCTTCTACGTATTATGCACCTTTTATGTCCTTTGTTTTGTGACTATTGTTTGTGTTCACAGTCCCAAGAAAACTTTTCTTGCAAGTTTTCTGGATTGCTCATTCATCTGAAAAGCAGACAGGACAGAATTTGAAAAGAGGCAGGATTACAGTTTGATGTAGAATTTGGAAGTAGGTGTATATGTTAATAGCTATTATTTTGGGGAGAAAGCAATTTATTTATTATTTATTTGTTTGTTTGTTTGTTTGCTTGTTTATTTGTTTATTTATTTATTGGGAAGCAGCCACTGTTGAAAGAAGGCATTTCACCTTAAGAATGTACCTCTGGGAATGACAGGAAACAGAGTAACAAAATAGCAAATCAAAAATCATAAATTGACGTGAAGATAAAATTATAATACAATAAATACAATTAAAAGCAAAGAAAAATAAAAACATGGGACCATGGCAGTATGACAGAAGTTATATTTTTGGACACTATTGTATCAAAGTATAGTTTGTTCAGGGAAGGCCTGTCTCAAGAGCCAGGTTTTTACTAGCTTCTTGAATGTGCCCAGTGAAGGGGTCAGACGGACATCAGGCAGAAAAGAGTTCCATAATTGTGGTGCTGCCGCTGCCGAAAAGGCCTAATTTCTAGTGGTTGTTTTCCGGGCCTCTCTCGGGGTCAGAAATCTCAGTAACCCTGCCTGCGACTGTCTTATAGGACAGGTAGACCTAACAGGAAGGAGGTGCTCAGCTGGATATTGAGGTCCCAAACTGTTTAGGGCCTTATAGATTACGTAAGCGAACAGGTAGCCAAAGTAAGGAGGCCAGGGTGGGGGAGATATGTTGGTATTTTCTAACCCCACTCAGAAATCTGGCCACCGCATTCTGGACCCGTTGCAGTCTTCATAGCAGTCCCAAGGGCAACCCCAGGTAGAGGGCATTACAGTAGTCTAATCTCGAGATTACCAGCAGATGGACCAGTGTGGTGAGGGACCCGGTGTCAAGGTAGGGACGTAGCAGGGTGATCCACTTTAGGTGGAAATAAGCGGATTGAACCACAGATGCTGAGATGTCATTGATAGCGATGGGTCCAAAACCATGCCCAAGCTACGAACCTCATCCTTCAAGGAAAGAGTGCCCCCCCAAAAAAGATAGGAAGGCACCCAGACCACAGACACTGGGGGGCCCACCCACAGAATTTCCGTCTTGTCCGGGTTCAGCCTCAGTCTGTTGTTCTTTATCCATCCCAGCACCACATCCAGGCAGTGTTCAAGGGACGGGACAGCATCCACAGCAGAAGGATGGAAGGAGAGATACCGCTGAGTGTCATCCGTGTATTGATGATACAAAGCTCCAAAACCCCTGATGACCTCTCCCAGTGGCCTCAGATAGATATTAAATAGCATTGGGGAGATCATTGACCCCTGTGGGACTCCACAATTGAGAGTTCACAGAGCAGACAACATCTCCCCAAGCTGAACTCTCTGAGGATGGTCTTCCAGGAAGGACCAGAGCCAGACCAAAGCCTGACCACTGATCCTCAACCCCAAAGCCTCCCCAGGAGGATACTGTGGTTGACGGTATCAAAGGCCGCTGAGAGGTCAAGGAGGACCAGCAATGACATTTTGCCCCTGTTGGCCGCCCTCAAGAGGTAATCTTGCAGGGTGACCAATGCTATCTCCATGTCATGATGCGGCCTGCTGCAGAAGGATGGAAGGAGAGATACCGCTGAGTGTCATCCGTGTATTGATGATACAAAGCTCCAAAACCCCCGATGACCTCTCCCAGTGGCCTCAGATAGATATTAAATAGCATTGGGGAGATCATTGACCCCTGTGGGACTCCACAATTGAGAGTTCACAGAGCAGACAACATCTCCCCAAGCTGAACTCTCTGAGGATGGTCTTCCAGGAAGGCCCAGAGCCAGGCCAAAGCCTGACCACTGATCCTCAACCCCAAAGCCTCCCCAGGAGGATGCTGTGGTTGATAGTATCAAAGGCTGCTGAGAGGTCAAGGAGGACCAGCAATGACATTTTGCCCCTGTTGGCCGCCCTCAAGAGGTAATCTTGCAGGGTGACCAATGCTATCTCCATGTCATGATGCGGCCTGCACCTGGACTGGAATGGATCGAGGGCATTGGTCTCCTCCAGGAGAGCCTGAAGCTGATCGGCCACTACTCTCTCCACCAGTTTGGCAATAAAGAGATATTGGAAAATAGTTGTTAATATAATCAGCTGCCAGATTTTTTTTCATATAAGCCTAATGAGTGTCTCCTTGAGGGCAAGGGGGACCCTGCCCTCCAGGAAAGACCCATTAATAATAGCTTCTGCCCACTCAGTTCTTATTGGCTTGACCAGTTGAGAATACCAGGTCTAATGTGTGACCTGCCACGTGGGTGGGACTGTTGACAAATTGGGACATGTCCAAGGAAGCCATGGTTTCCAAGAACTCAAGAGCTGAGCCTGTGGCCCCAACCTCAGCATGGACATTGAAGTCACCCAGGACAATTAGTCTAGGGGATCTCAGTGCCACTGCCAAGATGAAGTCCACCAGTACCAGAAAGGAGAGTGCTGGATCGCAGGGAGCACAGTAAACCAGCACCATCCCAAATCCATCCCTGGTCCCCACCGACAGGTGAAGGGACTCAAGGCCTGGGATGCTCAAAGCAGAGAGCCTAAGAACCTCTAAGGTGTTTTTATAAATAATGGCAACCCGCACTCCCCAACCCTTCAGTCTACCTTGGTGCTGGATGGAATATCTGGGTGGGCAAATTAATGAGAGGGCTACACTGTCCTCTGCGCCCACTCAGGTTTCAGTAATACAGGCCAGATCTGCTATTTCATCCAAGATCAAGTCTTGGATTAGCTGGGCCTTATTTAAAGCACATCTGGCATTTAACAGCATCAAGGATAAAGTGGAAGGTTGCCTGAGCAAGTTACCTTGATTCTGGTCACTGGCAACAGAGCTAGAACACGGGACAGCCTTCAACCATCTGGCCCCCATTCTTTTGGGTTTACAGTAACTCACTCTCCATTATTATAACAATACTTTGGTGGCTTATTTATGGGCATGCTTATTTATCTATTTGTCACCTTTCTTGGCATATGGGACCCAACGTGGCTCACAACAATTAGTAGTGTACAATAACAACAGTTTAAAATGCCGCAAAAATCTATATACTAAAAACCAATTAAACATTAATCAGTAATTGGATTACAAGCAATTTGAAAATATTACAATATATGCACAAATAGAGCATTCTCTGGACACTTAACACTTAAAAACTTGCCTGAAAATGAAGTCTCTGCCCAACAAGGGAAGGATAAGAGGGAGGAGGTCAATCCCTAAAGTCATGTGTCACTGGCAGTATCATTGCTTTTAATACTGTATGTTACTTCCAAACTCTGATTCAGTGGGGAAACATTCCTTACCCTAAACTATTGACTGCACCAATGTCATCAGAACAACCCTGTTTCCTGATAAGCTTTCTAGATCAACCCTACATGTAGCCTTTGGTACAATGGAAATGTTAAAAATTGGAATTTGGAATGTATCTGGAAATTCCAGGTACACTTGCCATCTTATTATCTGGAAAGGCTTCTATGCATTTGACAGGTGCATGAAAGAAATGCAAAAGCAAGCACGTCCCCTTATGGCTTTCTCTCCCTGCTGGAAAATACAGCTTTTGTCAGCACAACGAGGGAGTGCATATCTGTCCCAGAAGTATAGTAAAATTGCTCCCTCTACCAAACTACAGCACCTCAAGATGTGCCTCTTCCTCAGACACCCTTTCTTCATGTTCAGTGTCTGGAGTACTTGGACATTTTAAGTATTCCACTCAGTATTCATCTTGCAAGTTCCAAAAACAATGTATTTCCTACACCTGAATGTGTCCTAGCTCTATGTTTATATTCAGTTCTCAAATAATCTGTTGGTTCACTTAATTAAAGGTACCCAGTGGGCGGTGGATGGAGTGGCAGACTAGGACTCAGGGTTTGAATCTTCACTTGGCCATGGAGATTTACTGGAGGAGTGAAACTGGCAAAAATGCTCCTTAAATATCTCATTTACCTTGAAAGCCCTATAAGTTGGTTTCAAATTGACAGCAGACAACTAACTAACAAAGTTAGTTAATGCACATGCCAGATAACTTAACAAAGGAAGAAAATTCAAAATAAGCAGTGATGCATTAATAGGCCTTTTTTGTGATAAGTAATTAAAAACTGTTAGAGCGGTACAACAATGGAACCAATTACCTCAGGAAGTCATGAGCACTCCAATACTGTACTGGAGTCCTCTCTTGTTTCAGAATTCACACAAACCCTTTCCCACAAAGAGACCAGTCCCTGAATT